TCAGCCTCCCAGAGTGCTGGGATCACAGGCTCGCGTCACCAGGCCTGGCTGGGACCGCATTTGTAGGAATCTAGAAAGAAATTCTAATCACAGGAAGCCTGACCTCACCACTGCGGGCGACATGTGCTGAGCTGGAGTCTTACAGGAAGAACCCAGGCCTGCTGGAGTGAGTCCGCCCTTTGCAGGGAAAGCTTGTTACCTCCCCTCCGCCCTCCTCTCCCCCGCCACCAAGACACTTTACCTCCTGTCCTCTCCTTCTGTCCACCACAGCGGCAACATAAGAAGGTGTCCCCACCCTGCGCCCGCCCGCAGTGAGCACTTTCCAACTGTCATTAGCGCAGTCGAGCGTGTGCTCTGAGAAGAGCCAGGCCATTAGCACCCCTGAATAATTTACTGCTCCCCAAACAAGGCCAGCATCTCTGGCTCCCTCTGAGGAGCTCCCGACAGGAGGGAGAAAGCAGCATTAGGAAAGAAGGCTTTTGGTGCCGCCTCATTGGCATCTGAAGGTATTACGGGGGCCAGAATCCAATTTTGAAATCAAATAAAGTCACACCGAAAGTACAGTTTAATTTGTGAGTTTCGCCCTGCTGGGAGAGAAGCTGGGAAGAGACTCGGCAAGCGAGCTCAGGGCGGTTCTGATGCGAGGCCTCGGCCAGGAGCCTGCGCTAGCAGCAATTAAGGAAAACAGCGATGAACACAGCCGGGAGGGCTGGACAGCAAGCGGTGGCAGCCGGAATCTGAGATGCACTTGTGTGCCTGACATCGGCGCCATGCCTGGGCCCCTTTGCCCACAGCGCCATCCTCCTGCAGGTGTTTGGGGTCACACAGGGCAGCCCCAGAGATGAGGGAAGCTACCTCTCCATCCCTCTGGGTGCTGCATCTCCTCTGCAACCCCTGCTCCAGCTGGACAGGCCGCCCCGGTGCCATCCCTTCCCAGAGGACTCAGACCCCCACCCCGTCACACCAACACCTCCTCTTTTCTCTTCCTGCCATCCCAGGGTCCTGGGGGTGGTGGCAGCATCCTTCTACTGCTGTCCCAGGACTTCCTCATCACCACCTATGTCTCTGTCTGTTTTATGATACTGTAAGTGAATACCAGAGACAAGGTACTTTATCAAGATGAGAGGTTTAATGGGTTCATGATTCTGATGGCTGCAAAGCACAAACAGCTTGGTACCAGCATCCAGTGAGGATCCTCCAGCCCCATCAGCCTGTGACAGAAGTAAGTGGCCAGGGAGCCAGCCAAGCGCATGGGGTGGCTTTGCTTTACATCGGCCCATTCTCAGGGGAGGGAGAGCAGAGGGGAAGGAGAAAACGAAAGGACTGACTTGTGTTCTGTCCATGTGCCAGCCGCCCATGATGAATGTGGTCATTACGTACCGCACACTTATTTTCCACAGTTCCCTGACAGAGTCCTGATTGATCAAACCCCCAGCACTGCCTCGTGCAGCCCAGGAAATACAAAATTATCAGGAATATCACTTTTCACAGCTGGAAACCTACACCACACCAAAGGGTCAGCCCCTCCGATACCCACAGAGCTGGAAATCAAGGCCTCCAAGAGGGGCAAAACCTTTCCAACCAAAAGCTTGCCCTCTTTGGAGTAATAAAGCAAAAAAAACATTTTTAAACAGACCTTTGAATTAAACCGACCTGCCTTTTACCCGCTGAAGGATGCTGGGTCGTTTATGCTTCCTGGGGCTCAGTTTCTCACCTGCAGGCTGGAGTGAATAACATCTATATTTTAAAGGGCTGTTTTAATATAGGCAGCATCTGGCACGGAGGTAACTCACCCACTCACACCAGCTGCTTTGCTCTGAAAAAAAGTTTACAGTAACTACGAGGAAGTCTGGGTCCAGCGCTTACCGCAACCCCTTCGATTTCTGAGCCCAGAAAGAAACACGAAAAGGTGCTCTCTGCACTTCATAGCGGGGCAAATGTGTCTCCAAAGAAAACTCTAAGGATAAATCATTCAAAAATAAAGTCATTTCCTTGAGCAAGGAAACAGAAAGTTCTGTTAGCAAATAATAAAACTTGATGCACAATGCTGCCCCGCATGATTTCAGCTTTGACGGAGATGAAAGAGATGCGCTGGGCAGAGATGCTTCTTCAAATGCCAGCTCTGGAGCCCCGAGGGATTGCTCCTGTTTCACAGGTTTGCAAGTGGCCCGGGGGACCCGGCTGCTCAGAGCGCTTTAGTCTGGAGCTGCTATGACAGGACCGAAAAGCTGGTCCTCACTCCCTCCTGTGATGTTTAAAATAAATCAAGGAAGTAAAGCCCTGAGCTGGGATGCTGATTGGTCTTTTTTTTTTTTTTCTTCCTCCAAATAAACCCCTGCTTAAAACTTTGAATTACCCATCTGATAAAGGATTAGCCGTGTGCTTTTGTGACTCTTTGGCAGAGACTTCTTCGCTATCTGATCTTTGGGCTCGCAGGATGAAAACTCTTCTCCTGACATCTTGATGGAGTCCTGGGACAGGGTTAGAGAGGACAAACGGCCACCGCCCCGACCTCAGGTCCCCAGGGGGAGGGAGCCAGGAGGCCTGGTGTAACTCAGGAGCCTCAAACAACCCTCCCCGGGCTGTGCGGGTTCTGTCAGGTGAAAACAGTCACAGCTGACACAGCCCCAACAGCCACCGTGCACAGCTGTTGCAAAGCCAGTGAAGATGTGGGCAGCTGCCACTATGGGGACCTGGCTCAGCTCCACAGGTCCCTATCCTGGAGCTCTGTCCCAGCGCAGCAGTGCTGAGAGGGGATGGGCCTAGAGGAAGGGGGCTACAGCACTGGGGGGACCACCCTAAGAAGAGACTAATGTAGTTCTCCTGAGACCTTGGTCAGTTCCCACGAAAGAAGAGGGTCCACTTCAGAGGCTAGAGAGGGGACTGCTTGATCTTAGACATTCAGCCTCCAAAACTATGAGCCAAATAAGTTACCCAGCCTCAGGCACTTTGTTACAGCAACAGAAAACAGACACATACACCAGCATTCGCAGACACCTGCATGTGCCACGCGGTGCCCCCACGAACAAACTGGCTAAATGTGCCAGAGACAAGTCCTGCCGTGGGGAGACGATGCTTGGAGCTGGGAGGCCTGGGCTCGGCTCTCAGCTGCTCATTCTTTTTCCTGATGAGCAAACCCCTCACCTCTTGCACATCTGAGCCACTGTATAAGAATACCACTCCTCACAACCATAAGCAATACCACACAGATCAAGGGAAAGAATGGGGAGAGGTGTGTTTGCTGGTACTAATTCTCCCCGTGAGTTGTCTGAGACTGGTTCTCCCGGAAGGGTGCAGGGGGTCTATTGGGAGGGAGACCCAGAAAGCACCTGCAGGGATAGGAAAGTGGGGAAGGAGAGAAGGGGCCCAGGAAGTGGTGCAGGGGCGGCTGCCAGGGCATGGTGCAGGACACACTCGGAGGAGCCTGGCCAGGGCCATGGCAGCAGCTCTCTCCCAGCAGGGCTCAGGGCTGGTTGGAGGATGGGCTGCACCCCACTCCGGCTGCCCTGGTGTCTGGCAGCTGGGGGACTCTGGGAGCAGCCGCGGAAGTGCAGCTGAGCCAGGACACCCGGGACTGCATCTGTAAAACAGGGGCAGCCCTGGTGCCCCAGAACTAGTCCGTGTGAGAGCTATTTCCAGGGGTGCCAGCTCCCAGCTGCACACTCAGGCACCAGCAGCTCCACCCGCCTGCCTCAGCCTACAGATTCCAGACTCCCGGCCCCTGCTAACACACCAGGGGCTTCTGGGTCCCGCTGGGGAGCCGGGATGTAAAACTCAGTCTGCTGAGCTCTCCCGCTGCTGCCCTGCAAGCCAGGCCTTCGGTTCACTGGCCGATAACATCCTATAAATCCCCGGTCTGGCAGGGGAAACACAACGCAAACCTTGGCCAGCAATTACCATTCTTTCCTTATTCTTTTAGTAGGAGATTCTTTGAACCTTAACTGAGCATGTAGCCACCCTACCTGAACACAGTTTCCTTTGCAGCTAGCTGTGGCCATCAGGAGAAATTCGGCTGGGGAGATCTGAACAGAAATGATGTGTGCAGTCTCTAAATGTGTGCAGTTTCTAATAGAGAAAGACACACACACACACACACACACACACACACATTCTCTCACCCTGCATGTGTTTAAGGGCTCAGAAGCAAGCACTAAAAGCTTTGGGTTCCCCACAAGTAGGTGAATACACAGAGCGCCCCTCTGGCAAAAGCTCTTGTCAACATCTAACAATGCTTCCAATGCATGCAGCCTTCAGTCCAGCAAGACCATTTCTAGAAATAGATCCTATAGAAACGCTTGTGCACATCCGCAAAGATATACATCCAAAGTGAGCATTAGAGCACTGCTTATAATAACAGATACCAGAAACAACCCAAGTATCTATCTATCAATTGCAGACTGGCTAAATAAATCACGCTCTCAACATGCAATGGAGTACCACACAGCCATGAAAAGAACTTGTGTATCAACCTGGAAAAGCAAATGAGATGTATTTGAGAAGAAAACAAGTAGCAGAATGTGTGTGTGTGTGTGTGTGTGTGAGAGAGAGAGAGAGAGAGGGAGAGAGAGAGAGAGAGAGAGAGAGAGAGAGAGAGAGAGAGAGCGCCAGGGAGGTCACTCAGTGGTAGGTCACTTGCCTAGCATAGGCAAGGCTCTGGGTTCCACTCCTAGAACCGCACACCCACATAGGGAAAAAAAATAGGAAAAAAATCTCATTTATATAAATAATGCACAGCTGAGGAAAATATGCTTGTAAAAACGTTTTTAAAATCTGAAAGCAGACCAAACAAACCCTTCACAGTGTTTTGTGGAGTTTGCAGGGGAAAAAAATCCTTTGCCTTTTACTCTGTTTTTGCATTTTTGTTTTACTTATAAAAATGGTTACTTTTCATTGTACAAAAAGAATTCGCAGGGAAAACCATTAAGCATGAATGGTCACAACGGGCGTAGGCGACGCATTTGTCAGGCTGCGGGAAAACATTTCTTTGAACGCAAATCAGCTTTTTCTTAACCGCTCTCTTTAGTGCTGCTTGCTAGCCTGCAGGGGTTTCTGTGTGAGATTTAGAAAATGAGGAGCCCTTCCTCCCACCCCGTCCTAGGTGGTGAAAAGAGGGGGGGGCTGGATTTCACCCCATCCATCTCCACCCTCGAGCAGTGAGCGGCCTGCACAACCGTACCCAGCACCCCTGGCTCTCACTGACGCACTGCTGTCTCTGCTGGATTTAAAGGGAGTCTGGGATTTTGAATGGGGAAGAAGAAGGAATCTGAGTCATTTGTTGTTATTGCTCATGAGGCTGCAGAGGAGGCAAATGTCTGCCTATAAATCCATATTAGTATTCTACTCTGAAGCCACAAGATGAAAGCCACAGGGCGTGCTGAGGGTATGGGGCCCGGGCAGCGCCGAGGGCACTCACAGCTCGTCCTTTCTCTGTGCCCGGCGCAGGGGAGGGAAGAGGGTCAGACAAACACGGCCAGCGCCCGCCCAGGTCTCACAGGTCTCCCCGAGTGGAGATGCTTGTTGAGTAATCGCACAAGCACACAATGACACCGCAGGACGGGCCGTGTGTAACAGGGGAGAATCCAGTCCGGGGAGTCAGGGAGGACTTCCTGGAGGAAGGGACGCTTGATCTGAGGTCCGAAGTTGTGCTGGTCCCGACTGGATAAAGGCAGGCGGGAGGTCTTGCTGCCCGTTCAGTGACGGCTTCTTCCAGATCCTTCTCATTCATCCAACTGAGAGCAAGAAACCAGAGATTTAAACAGAGAGTTAAAGTCTCAGCCTAGAAATGGCAGCAGCTCCCCCTCCGAAGGCCTGGGCACCCGCTGTCCCTGGACATCCCGTCGGTCATGTGTTCTTAGCCGGCCCCTTTATAAACACCTCTGCCCTGCATCGCCATGGTTCGATTCTCCACCTTCCCTGCTGAGCCCCGACTTACATGGCAAGGAATCTCCTGACCACCACACCTCCTGCCTGAGCCCCACAGTGAAGGCAGCATCCTCAAGACGTGGGGGTTTGGAGAAAAGAGGGCACGAGGTGAGAAAGGAATCATATTTCAGCTCCTCACTGAGTATTCAAGGAAAAGTGTGAGTATAGATCCAGTTCCTAGGTATAGACATAATTCTGTACTGCAGGGTGGAGGTTGTGGCTAGAGATGTGTACCTGGGACTTGGCAACACATTCAGATATTGAAAAACCTTAAGTCTAAAGAGGATTACCCAGAAAGGGAAGAGAGATAAAGAAGAGATGGGCTATGCAAAGGCCCTGTGGAACAAGTGGGTGTGGCGCTCTGCATGTTAAGAGCTTGGGAAAAGTCCCTGTGGTTGGAGCAGAGAGCCAGGGAGCAGTTTGGGATGAAGCTGCAGAAGACCCAGGTTTTTATCCTAAGACTCTAGAAGAGCCTTGTAAACCCTGAGGTAGAAGAGTCCCATTATGACTTCTAAATGGCAGTCCCAGTGAAGGCGTGGAAAATGGGTTTAAGCTAAGGCCCCACTGAGCAGAAATAAATTGCAAAGAAGATACAGGCCGCCTGATGACATCATGACAATGACACTAAGATCCAGTCTCCGGGAATGTGGTTTACAGTTCCTCAGGACCGTGGCTCTCAGTGAGAGAACAGCCCTGGAGTCTAAGGGTGCAGGGGCTCCTCGTCCCCACCCAGGCCCTGCCAGGGCTCCGGGGCTCTGCCCCACCGCCATCCTCTCTCTGCCCTGCAGGCTACAGCTCTCACCGCATTTGCTTTCACCAGAAAGAACTCTGCAGCTGAAAAAAAAGTCCTCCTGCCTCTCATTCCTCCAAGTCCCATGGGGAAGGGGGAGGTGAAAGCAGCCCAGTCTTGGCCCCCCAGCTGCCCGCCGGACTGTGGCGGTGAACAGGAGGGCTTTGGGTGAGGCGCACACCCACAGAAGGTGCCAGGGCTAGCGGGGGCTGGTTCCAGGGGCAGGGAGAATCCATGGCAGTGAAGGGTAAAGACGAGCCAGGGAAGAAAACTCAGAATACAGTCACTGGTCCGGGAGCTAAGACTGGACCCTAAGAGGCAAAGCTTTCAGGCATCTCTCCACCTCCCTGAGCCATGAAAACACCCCTGGCACTGCACAGCAGAGGGGGCAGACACAAGCTATCAGGTCCTGCTTCTCTCTGAAACAGCACAAGATAACTTCCCAGCAGTGACCCACATGGTGACTGCGACCGAGACTGAGGCTGCGGAGCCTGACGCCCCACTCGGGTAGGGCGGGCACAGCGTCCTCTGAGAAGCAGGTGGCAGGGGGCCAGCCTGCGGCTCTGGAGCCTGATGCCTTGGCCCTGAGGTCACTGCAAACCACCTGTGCAAAGAGCGGCTCTGTGCTTTGCAGCAGCCGCGCCCCCTAAAAAGGCCATGTGAGGCCCTGGGGAGCTCTGCGAGAGCAAAGTAGCTTTTAGGAAACCTGGTGCTTCTGGAAGCTGAGTTCCAAAGCCATTAAGGGAGGGAGGCTGGGCAAGGTGGCACACATCTGTAATCCCGGTACTAGGGAGGCTGAGGCAGGAGGATTAAGGAAGGGAGGCTGAGGCAGGAGGATTGCTCCAAGTTTGCAGTCAGCCTGGGCTACATAGTGAGTTCAAGGCCAGCCCGAACTACATAGCAAAACCCTACCTCAAAAATTAAAACCATTAAGGGTATCATTCACATCACAAGGTTATGCTTCCTCTTTGTCACCTGAGTCCACAACTGAAATTGAAATCTGACCTCCTTATGCAATTAAATTTTGTGTATAGTCCAAAATTCAAACCAGAGAGGTTAAATTTGGGGAATAAAAGATAAAAGAAATTGGAAGAAATACCATGGTTGGCCAAAATCAACAAGCATCCCAATGCAAATAAGTAACAGTGACAAATACTGAAACCTCCTGGCCCTGGCCCTGCGCCAGACGTTACTCTGAGCCTTCCGTGTGTCTGTCGCTTGTTTAATCTGCACATATTTTAGCTCTGAGATGAGGACACTGATTATCCCTGTTGTACAGGGAGGAGAAAGGTACGTGGAGGTTGGGGACCTGTCCACTTCTAGTAAATAGAACAGCCATGATTCACAGGTGGGCCCTCTAGATCCCGTATGTCAGTAGGAATACACAGCTTTTTGATTCATGAAGTTCAAGGGTCAGCCAAGATCAGTTTCCAGGTCCCTTCCATTGCTGGCATTCTGTGTAGAAAACCCATCTCTGGGACATGAACAGAGGCTTTTCCTTCTGGATTCCAAACTGAAAGCCACCCTGAATTAACCTCAAAATCCGAGCCTAAGTAGACTCGGGAAGTTTATTTGGGAGATGACCCTGGGACCAGAGATGAGGCAGGAGAGTTGTGTGCTGGTGAGCTGGTCACCTCTGCGGGCAGCCAGACCTCAGCGCTATGGGACAGTCTCCAGTGGACCATCCAGAATCTGGGGTATTTACCCACCAGGTCTTGTCGCCCACTGACTAAGGGTTCCCCCAGCCGTGCTAGCTCCCCAGCCCGCCAGCCACAGCCTGAGTGGCCTCCCGGGCATGGGAGGGAGTCCCAAGGCCAAAAAGCAGGACCTGTCTGTCTGGATACCTGGAGCGTGCACGGGCCTGAGAGGAGCTGTCCAGCTCCTCAGTGCTGAAATCTCACCTGCAGAGCGGGCCCAGCACGCACCACAACACCATCCATCCCCCACAGAGGCCAGCGGACCATCGATCCCTCTGCGGCCACCCAGACCTGAAAGCTGCTCCCCATCCAGGTCTCAGCCCTCTCTGTCCTTTCCTGGTAATGAAGACTAGACACATCTCCAGAACTAACACCGGCCAGGGGGCCAAGCCGGCACACTGATTCTTCAGTCCACAACAAAGTCCACTTGCAGGAGAGAAAATCTGATGGGATATCTCATGCTTAAGTTCCTAAAATATATCCCTGATCCTTTCAAGGCAGAATTCCAGCTCCCTCAAACCATTGTCCCCCAGGCTAAGCTGTCCCAGCCCCTCCATGTGCTGCACACTAGAACAGCATCTCCCTGACCCCTCCGCCTTGGCCACGCTGTCCCCTCCCTGGACTATGCTGCCCTCCCCGTCATGGCCTGAGACCCAGCTCAAGAGTCATCCCCTCTGGGAACTGCTGGGTGGGCTTCAGGGTCCTGGGCCCTCACTTCTCTCCTCGTCCCACTCCCACTCATGAGAAGGAAGACTTTCAGCCCACCCACACAGTGGCCCAAAGTCCACCACAGGAGTGAACAGGAGCAGACAGGCAACCCAAACTGAGAATCAGGAGTCTTCTCTGGGCTAGTGGGAAGTGCATCTCTCTCTCCGTGTTTTGATACCCCAAAGACATGGCTCTGTAGAGTTGGGAAGATCTCTTTCCCATCACAAGGGGGAAACGATCCCCCAGAAGCCAGCAGGGAGGTCAGCAGACCGGAAGTGTGTTGGTCTAGACTCCTGGTTTTGAGGAAAATAAACTGAATCCAAATCTACTTAAGCAAATAAGTGAACAAGCAAAAACTATGGCGGATCCAGCGGCATGTGTTTGACTCGGGTCAGGCCTGGCTGAATCCAGATACGCAACCGTTTTTTCCTCCCCCTGCCTCTCCTCCTCCTTTCCCATTGTCTGGTCACTCTCGCCTCTGCTTGCCTGAATTCCACACGACAGCCATCTCCAAGTCTGTGCTGTCTTCTTTCTAGCTTAGAAATGGAACAGAAAGAACAAACGTCCTCTCTTTCATCAATTCCCCAGTCCAGAGAAGTCTCTGATTAGCCCGTCCCGGTCATGTGCCACCCTGCACATCAAGGATCAGGAAGAACGACCCCCAAGATTGGCAGCCGTCGGGGCCACAGAGCAGGACAAACTGCAGCCCAAGGGTCCGATCCGGCCAGCGCCTGTTGTAAACAACACGGTACTGGAACCGGGTCATACTCGGTCATTTGTGTATTGGCTACAATTACTTACATTGTAATGGTAGAGTTTCAGTAGTTGGGAGAGGAAAGGTAGCCTTCAAAGCCTTTGTAATGGCTCTTTGGCCTTTTATGATCCCAGCCACAGGTAATGGGACAGAAGTGACCCTCCCTTGGGCTTCTTAGTGAGTAACTCTGGGCATGTGGCAACCTCTCTGAGCTTCTGGGTCCTTTTGCACCAATGAAATAATAATACCATCTTTGCAGGGGAAATGGATGGACCAGTGCACCCAGAGAGATAGCCCATGCTAAACCTTCCCCGTGCAACAGTGTGTTCTTTGGGGGTTAGATTTAATTAGTGGCATAATTAATCCAGAGCGGGAGACGAGCCAGGGAGACAGTGCACCTCACTGCAAGCAAAGAGCCAGAGCTTAATACAGAGTCACTCAGCAGTAAGCTCTCAGTGCTGGTGCCGGGCAGAGCAGAAAAATAAATAAATACGTTAATGGAAACCCGAAGGAGGCAAAGCCGCCCTGGAAAGAGGACAGAGTAAATAACTTGGCAGAGACACAGAATGACTTTCTACAGCGCATCCCCCTCTTCCCCACTGAGGTCCTGATGCAATTACCTCTCGGTCAGAAGAAAGCAACTGTGCCCCCATTGTGTAGCGGGGAGAAAATGGTCCCTGCTTTGATGCTCGAATTCCTGGCGAGGCCGAGGTAGCTGCAGGTGGCTGCCGGCCCAGAATGCACTGGGACCCTGGTTCTGGGAGCGTGTGGGGGAGGGGTGCTGTTCAGCCACGCCTCAGAAACAAAACGTTTTCATTCTAATCAGCGCAAGCGCTTCCAAAATAACTCTCCCTTATTGCTCCCGCACCTCAGAGCTCTCTGCTTCTAAGGGAACATCGTGAAGTCCGAGCAGAAACCCTCAGAGTGCAGGGTCACTCTGTGTGCCCATCGGGAGCCTCTTACTCTGTCTGGGACTCAGTGGCCTCATCTGCAAACTGGGCAGACAATGCTTCCCTCCTGTGGCTGTGGGACGAGCAGCATCTGTAATTGCCGTTTCTCCCCCTCTGCATGAAACGCTCTGTTTTCTGAAGGCCAAAAACAAGAATCCCAGGAGCGGCTGAGTGCAGTGATTCACCATGCCTGTCATCCCAGCGGGGTCGCAAGCTCAGGCCCACTGAGGCAGCTTAGCAAAACCCTGTCAAAATAAAAATGGGCTGGAGATGTAGCGCAGAAGCCTGTGTTCAATCCCCAGTAAAAAAAAAAAAAGTCCCAGGAGCACATTCACCTGCTGTTCCACGGGTTTCCACGGGCCAAGGCCACCCACCCGGAAGGCAGGCCCTGCCATTCATTAGCCCCTTTAGATGGGGAAACTGAGGTTTCTGCTTTGCCCAGGGCCCTCTGCCCAGTCACTGGTACATCCAAGCTCTGAACTGAAGTCTGCCTGGCTTTACAGCCCACACTTCTGTTTGAGAGAACTGGGACACCCCAAGGCTGAGTGACAGGCCAGTGGTCTCAGCCCACTCCTGGCCTATTCTCCACTCCAGACAGTGAGGTCCAGAATAAATGTGTGGCTCAGGGACCCAAAAGGGCACCTGGGGGATGTAATTTGTACAGCATCGCCCTGCCTCTTACAGGAACCCTCGGGGTGGGCACTTTATGATGCCCATTTTTCAGATGGGGAACACTGAGGGCCGTAACACCAGGAGTGAGACAGTGACAGGATGACTACAGGATTCACTTTGCCTGCTGTAAAGAGGGTTACTGGTGCTTGCCTGTTATTCTGAGCACCAGTCAGACTCTTTCTCCTCTATATAAACTAGCATAACCTTGATGTTCAACAAGAGTATGGGCTAGAACCAGCCTACTGGGCTTCAAATCCCGCCCCCTCCCCAACTGCTTACAACTCCTAGCATTACTTAATCATCCCTGGGCCTCAGTTTTGCCATCTGTAAAATAGAAATTAAACAATGGTATTACATCTCTTCCTCTGTGCGTCTCTTCCCCAGCCATTGTGTGGTACAGAAAGAGCCGGCTGTCTGTGCCACAGGATGTGGGGGGCAGCCTGGGCTGGGAAGAAGGGCACTGGTGTCTGGAGGGGGCGGGTGGGTAGACCGATGATGGTGGTGGTGGATAGGTAGATACATACATAGGTAGGTGACAGATGAGGGGGCGGAGAAACAGATGAGGGAGGGATGGGTGATGGGTGATGGATGGGTACGTGGATTTACAGATGGGATATTGACCAAGCACAAACTAGATAATAGAAAAAGGGCAACTTTACTTGGAGAAGGCTGGAAGATGGCACTCTAATCGTGCGACGCAAGGAAAGGTCGTCAGTCAGAAGATGGGTCAGAGTGAGGAGCCGCAGGGGGCGCAAGGAGACCACAGCGTGTCTTCTGCGACCTCCCACTAGAGAGGCTCCTCTGGAATCTAATCACCGGGAAACTCAGACGGCCCGCACACAGGAGCAGGCTGCAGGCCACCGCCCGTGACCTTCAAAAGTGGCAAGGTGACTCCAGCCCCAGAAAGTCTGAGACTAGGTGCCTGCCAAGCAAACGGAATGCCTGCCTCTGAGTTAACCCCCCAAGTGCCCAGAGGACAAGCTGGCAGCTGTGTGCCCATGTGACTGCTTGATTTGGACGGAGCTTCTATGGTTAAGCAGGGGACACCTCGTTTACAGAAAATAAGGGTGGGGAGGAGCAGGGAGCAACCTGCTCTCAAATGACCTTGGCGTTGTGCTCCCAGCTTTCCTAGAAATCTGTGATGACTTCCCCATGAAATAAAATAAGATTTAAACCAAGCAGCATCTATCAGCCATCGGGGCGGGGCAGGAAGTCCCAGTGGCTGTGAGCTGTCACCGCTATCTGCAGCCTCTCCCGTCATCCGAGCCCAGATAGACAGACCAAAGACACCAGCAGGTGACTGTCACTTAATTGGACACCTGGCCACCGGCCCGGCAGCAACCATTCCACCTGGCCAGGACCGTCCTGCCCCAGCACATCAAGGAGAAGCAGCAGGACATCTGTTCTCTTGGGAGGGTTTTACCGACAGACAGCGGCACAGCCCAGCAGCACATCGCGTCGGCTCAGCCTCCCGGAGAGCTCCAGACCTGGATGCTCCCCGTCACAATGCGGGAACACCCCCAAGCCAGGCGCCGTCCTCTCTCACCCACCCGGGGCACCCGAGCTGCTTCCACACTGGGCTGCCGTCACCCCTGGCCCACACGACACTGCAGAAGTTAACTAACGTTTAAAACCCCGATCAGGACACCGCTCCCTTCGACGTCTTCTGGAGAGGTCCTGCATGCCCACCTCTCCCATCACATCCGCTTCCTCTCCCCTCTCTCCCTCTGTCCCTCTGTCTCTCTGTCCCTCTGTCTCTCTGTCCCTCTGTCCCTCTGTCCCTCTGTCTCTCTGTCCCTCTGTCTCTCTGTCCCTCTGTCCCTCTGTCCCTCTGTCTCTCTGTCCTTCTGTCTCTCTGTCCCTCTGTCCCTCTGTCCCTCTGTCCCTCTGTCTCTCTGTCCCTCTGTCTCTCTGTCCCTCTGTCCCTCTGTCCCTCTGTCCCTCTGTCTCTCTGTCCCTCTGTCCCTCTGTCCCTCTGTCCCTCTGTCCTTCTGTCTCTCTGTCCCTCTGTCCCTCTGTCTCTCTGTCCCTCTGTCCCTCTGTCCCTCTGTCCCTCTGTCCTTCTGTCTCTCTGTCCCTCTGTCCCTCTGTCCCTCTGTCCCTCTGTCCCTCTGTCCCTCTGTCCCTCTGTCCCTCTGTCCCTCTGTCTGTCTCTCCCCTCCCCCCTGCTCAGATCCTTCCTCACAGAGACCCCTGCCCTCTCTGACGCCTCCTCTGACTCCTATTTAAGGTCGAGACCCACTTCGGCCCAGCACGTTCTCCCCCGAGGTCATGTTTTCCCCTAGCAATCTCCACCTGATAGAAGCTGTCTTTTTTATTTATTCTTTGTATTTGTCACCCTGTTTATAATTTGCACAATATTTGTTTCCTGGGGGCAGATGTCTGGGTGGATCATTTTCCACAAATTATCCCAGCACCAAAAACCGTGCCTCAAATCTGGCAAAAGAGGGACATGAGACTGCACAGGGCCACGCCTGGGGACAGGGTGTCCGAGGTCAGAGCCTCGTGTCTTCTCCTCAGCCACCGCTGACCCTGGCCAAGGAGACGCCCTCGGGAGACACAGCCACACACACCGCTGACACCTTCGCCTTGAGCTCGCAGTCTCCAGGACTGGGAGAAATCAGGCTTTTCTGCGGTCTCAGACATGCAGTCACTGGTGTTCGGTTCTGTGAGCCTCAGCAGCAAATAGATTGGGGAGAAGAGACAGGACGGGGTCAGGGTGCAGCTCAGGGATAGAGCACGGGCTCAGCAAGCACCCGGCTCTGGGTTTCATCTCCAAAAGACAGCAAGAACAAAACAGACAGGGTATCTGCCCCACAGCGCGGACAGTCTAACGCAGCGCCCCTCTGTCCTCGTGATTTTCCCATCACCAAGATACAATACTCAACACCTACAACTTAAAGGAAGGAGAGGTTCATATCTGCTCACATTCAGTCCCTAGTTTCCATGCAGGAGGGTGGCCTGGCGGAGGAGGGCGGCTCTCAGCAGGAAGCAGAGGGTGAGGGAGGCGCCCAGCAGGGAGACAAACCCTCCCAGGCCACAACCAGACCCCAGCTCCTAACAGCAAGCCAGCCACCTTCAAAAGCCCCACCACTCGCCAGTCAGTGTCCAAGAGCACACAAAGTATACAAACCATGACACCCTCAAAGGGTAGGCGCCCGGTTACTGCACGAATTTACCTTAGTGGATGCAAATAATGCTGAGGCTGGTCCAACTCTTGGAAGGCACTCAGAACCCCAGAGTCCCCAGGATTGAGTGCATGAGGGGAAACTGAGGCCAAAGAGGGGGTGGACTTACCTTGGACTGTAGACCTGGTTTGCTGGCTGGTTTGTTTGTTTTTTCCTCTGTGTCTGCAGTTCTGGGGGCCAAATCCAGGCCCTGGCACTCATGGAGTCTTTTTTTAATAATTTATTTAAGATGTTCCTGGGGCACCAAATAACAAACTTGTTGCTCTCAGAAAAAATGAACATAAACTTTGCCAACTCTATCAAAATGATCCACCCAGAATAAAATGGAATGTAGCACTCGCCAGTCTACCCAGAGACCCAGCGCATCCTGCATCGGAGGACCGCATGGATAAATACTGCTGGCTTGAGTGAAAACACCAGCTACCTTGAATTGTGAATCAGCAGTCCCGTCTCTGAGAAGGTCACCCAGGAATCCACGCCAGCAGGAGAACGAACGCATCATGACTTAGGCATGTTCACATGTGGGGGGACACAGAAAGTGACCAAAGTGTCCACTACCTGGGGAATGGGTCAGTGTGAGGCACCTCACAGAATGTTACTCCGACCTAACGAATCGTGCTGCTGACACCTCTGTGAGAAGTATTATGTCACTGGGGCAAGGTGAAAAAGAACAGAATACCATACAGTTACACGCAGTGTACACTGCGATCACACAGCACGCTGTGATCAATGAAAGACTGCATATAAAAATCCGTGTGGAATAAAACATCCGCATGGTTATCTCCATCTGTCCCCACTTCATCTCCAAATTACCTAACGTGATCAGCGACATATTTCTTCCAACACAGAAGAAAACTCAATTGATTATTTAAATATATTTTATAACATCAAAATATGTCCTTTGTTTTTCTC